CTGCAGTTTTCAGGTATTGTTTTCCAAGTGTCTGTGAGAACCATAGCTGTTCTGAATTTCAAATGCTTAGTAGCACAATACATTTGTTGTAAGACCTAAATAAAGTAGATTACCTAATATTAAAATTGACATAAAACAACAAATCCCATGCACAAAACAAGAACTATTCCTGCACCACCTGTCTGATACAATCCCAATATGCAGTGCTGAACTGAAGTGAACACTCTCTGGCAAAGCTTCACCTTTCACCAACCAACTTCATACGGAGTTCATATGGAAGTGCATTAGCCTGGGCCCTCAAGAGCAATGTTTTTCTCCCCTTGTAAAGACAGCTTGTTTCATTGCAGAGTGAAATTACAAATACAGACATAAACTTTGATCAAAACCAAACTCAAGATTGCTTTGGTTAAGTAATTCAGCCAAATGAAACAATAAAGAAAATTATTGATGTGCAGAGAGACTAGTGATGGGATGATGAAAGGCTACAATAACTTTGGATAAACATTTACAATTTCAGATGCAAAAGTGATGTAAAAAGTAAGAATTCTGGAACTGCAGATGACAGCAGCATTACAGTTAATATTTAATCATGCTATTGTGAGAATGTTCAGTAGTGGAAGACAGGATTAACATATTGCTTTAAAACATTCCATTACTTTCTGCATCTGTTTACTGATAATAAAAGAAACAGCTGTTCGAAATGTAACATTAACAGGTGTACACTGTTCATTTGAGATTTAAAAACAATAATTCTCCTCCATTTCCTCCCTTGCTATTTTGAAATGACATTACAAACACCCCTCCTATTAGCTTACACAATTAACTCCTAATTGTTTAACCTCTCTGCATGTCCACAAAATGTATACATGTGGAGTTAGCTTCCTTCTCATTTTGTGCAAAAGGCTCTGTTCCTCTGCAGTGCACATCCTGAACTAATGCACCAGATGTGTCCCATAAAATGGTTGGTCACACTATTCAGCAGCTTTCCTTTAGCAACTGTTCTATATCAAATTTACTGTAAAAAAGCATCATAATTATGAAGTAACACTGTATCAAATTCACAGACGTAATATCTCACTACGTTTAGTTGAACCATGAATGATAATTGAGCTTGAAATTGTATATTTACTTTAAATAAGTCCTCCAAATCATCTGCAACAATGTGTGCTTAATTCGAAGCCATTAACAAAAGATTTAACTTTTCCACATTAATACTCTCCATAATTTCAGATATGATACTCCGTACTTAGAGACAGACATAGAAAGAGGGGGGAAAAAAAAAAAAAAAGCTATTTCTGGTAGCTTTCCATTTGCACAATTTAAAGGATGTACCTTAAGTTTCTTACTGTTGTTAACCCAGGCTGTTAAATTCTAAGTAAAAAAGAAAGAAAATACTCAAAACCATTCAATATTGCTGTCGCAATCCCCCTGCCCCCTAAATTTTCAGTACTATAATTTTAATAACACAACCCCAACAATTCCTATGAAACTAAAACTAGACTTGCTTTATAAAAAATAAAAGAAGCTGTGAAGACCATATATTACAACCCTTTCAAAACCCTAAAAAGCTCGTATTTGATGCTTACTTTCATGAACGAAATACCAGTATGTTGGTAGGCAAAAAAAACCTGCAAGGAAACCACTTGCATAAATTGAGACTGGTGGTTGTATAGCTAAATAGCATGTTGCTTAGGAGTACTGATTCTACTACTAGATATTTTAATTATTCTATATTAGAATATGGAAATACAAAATAGCCCATTTTAACAAGTCACAAAACACATCACACCAATTTTACTTGCCAATTACTTGCTACGTGCTCCTGAAATAAGTGTTCTGCTTATTATTCTCTGAACTGCTACTACTCGTAGGAAATGAAGAAAAAAATTCCACAGAAATACTCCAAATCTTTTCACACACAGTTCTTAACTGAGAGGAAACAGATAATTCATCAAGATCCTACTACATTCAGAAAAGAAACATTTTAAAGTACCTGAATTTCATTCTAATACCCATATTTATATGGCTAGAAAGTTTTTTTGGTTGTTTTTTTTTTTTTTTCAATAAAACTTCTGCACATTTTAAAATCAAGACTGGTATTCAATGGTTTCCTGTTTAAAAAATAAGCAACTTGGGCGAGGTGGACGCTTGAGTTGCAAACACACCACCAGAACCGAACCTGCTCAAACCAACCACACAAATGATCTGCTGAAATGTTGAAAGCTATGTACAACCAAAAGGTTTTAAATTTTGTATTATGAGATCATGCTTCAACCTGGAAAGCTCCAGATTATCACACAGGGAGCTCTGCTACCTGGACTAGGCCTATTTTGAGAAGACAAATATGGAGACCATGAGAAACATGATAAGCTATAACAATCTGATGTACTGGTGACTGAAGTAAGGAACTATGCTCGCTCATGGCCAGCCTCGGACCTGCCTGCCCACCGTTTTAGGCCATCAGAACTGTACAAAAATAAAATGTCAGCAGAGGGCAGCGCAAATACAGTGGCCTGACCCAGCCCCTCAGGGAAGCCGCAGCTTCTTGGGACAGCCCTGCGAGCACAGCCCTGCGGGCACGCGTGTGCCCGCCTAAGGCAAGAGGGTCAAGCACAACAATAACCAAGTCTACTCATTTTTACACATTTTGTGCTTTCTTCCCCCTTGCAAACAGCCCATGCAGCTCTCCAGAGAGCCTCCCGGGGCTCATCCCTTGAGGAGACTTCCAAGGGGCACCAGGAGCTGGCACAACCGCAACACACCCACGCGCCCTCCATTTTGAGAGCCATGAAATCAAGTGCACCATCGGACCCCTTTTAAACTTGTAAACCTAGAACTGAAGTACTTCTTCAAAAAAGGAGTGTGAAGCGGACACATCACCAGAGGCACCAGTAAGATAATCTGTGAAGCAGAAAATGACACTTCTTCCTGCCCAGCGTGGACAGAGCAAGGAGAGGCCTTGCCCATCCGAAGCCACCTCCCCTCAGCAGTGCCCCAGCAGCTCCCCGCCTCAGCTTGCACCCCCAGCCACCACTTGGGCCAGGTTTACAGCCCCGAAGCTGTGCCACAGCACTCACCGCTGGCACCCAACCACGCAGGAGCCCCCAGTGCCCCAAAGAAACAGAAATCAAACTGCACGTACCTGCGTCTGAGGCAGAAGTGCCAGCAGGGCAGCCCCCCTCACTGGGAGGGAAGGCGGGAAGAGCCGGCTGAAGCTGCCCCACCTGCACCTGGCACTGATTTGCCACAAAACCCCCTCAGCACCTGTGAATACTGATTTTCCATCCACTTTTTTATCTCAACCTAGAGTCTGAATACCTAGTAAACAGCTTGTTCTCCATGAAACAATAGTACTGTTACATGAAAGATCTTAATATTGATGTTAGTCTTACAAAAAATACTAGTATTTGCTCCAGTACAATGAAGAAGCAGCTATTTTACCTTTTGGAAAAGAACTGGCAGTTATTAATCTCTTTATATCCCAAACTGTGTAAAAATGGTGCACATCCTCATTTAAGTTTCAACAAACTGATTTTGGTGATCAATTTCTGTTCTCCTACTTCATGGCTTTCTCACTGTAAGGGCTACTGTCTAAACTCTCACAGTTTGTATCCAAACAAGAATAAAAATAAACAAACTATAACCTTCGGCACCCACCACAAGGCTGGGATCCTGTTTCTCCCTTAGAGCCAAGAGTCACGTCTCCTTCTTGTGTCTCCATCCACCTTCTCACTTCCATTCTAAAAATTCACATCTTCTGCACCGGGTGATATTTACAGCCAACGAGCGTCCAGCTTTCCAGTGACATTTTCATCTTGTACCTTGCTGACTAGTTAAGTTTGGAAAGACTCTGCTTGTGTCCTCTGCTCTTTTCCCCCATCAGTCCCCATGCTGCTCACCCTCTTTTAGTGCCCATTACCAGAAAGTTATTTATTCATGGGTACATACCCATGAACTTTAATGGTGTAACAGCATAGTCATTACCTTCCAGTGTACAACTCACATGTTATCATGTATTGCTGTGCTGCATTTTCTTTACTTAGTTCACCAGTGTAGCATTATTTGATACACAACAGTACATCAGTAACTTTCATTTTTGGATTGTACATTTGCTTGTGTTGTCTGATGCTCCTGTCCACTGACTAGTTTGCATTCAGGTCTTCAGCAACCTTCAACCATTTACCTAGAAGCCACAGGAACACTACAAAAGCTAGGTCTTCCCACCACATTTTCATAGTGCCAAGATTTGCTAACAACTGAACACAACTGGAGATGGACAGGAATGTTCAGGTGACCTTTCTTGAAACTTTTAAAACATATTTTTCCAGAGACACTGCATCTGCTGTGCACAGAAGGCATAAATGCGTAGCTTTACAGAAGCTACTACTTGAAGTAGAGGAATAAACATTATGTTGTAGTAGAAGGAGAATAACAAGTTTCCCAGAATCAGTAGCTCTCTGTATAGCAGACTTTGCACTAGTTATGCCACATTCTCCTTGAGTGAAGACCGCTGATGCTTCCCAGCCCCAGTTTCTGTAGATTATTGCACCCACATGCATGCATTGGCTCTGCTTTCAGTGCCAACCTGTGCTTCTGTGATTCTGATCCTCTCATCTTTCAAGTCACTGGCCAGTTTATGTTTATCTGAAGTTCTAAGAGTGTACCACACTTGTGTAAGCTAATGCTAAAAATACTCTAATTATTTGCAGTTTAGAAAAATGCTTTTTGAAGACTGGACACTAGAACTTAAAATATTAATTTATGCAATCTAACAATTTGCAAATAGAAATGCAACCCCATAAAAGTGTAACTCCAATAACTGCACATGGCAATCTAAATACCTACAGCTATGTGGCATTCCTTCAAAAATTAATATCTCATGGCCCTAGTACAATAACCTTTGCCAGGCTCTGTTGAAAGCAGCTTCTAAGCACATCTAAAGCATTTTGATATACTCCTATTTTCTAAACCTGTAGCAATAACCAAGAGCATCAAACCAGTTGAGAACATTTCTTTAATAAATTCTTAAAAAAAATAGTCATCAGTTGTTTCTCCACACTATTTCCAATTTTCAGTTAGCATTTGAATTTAAATAAAAAAGTCTCTAGGAGGTGAACATGTGATTAATGAAAAGTCATTATACAAAAGCTTTGCACAAAACATAAGGAAATTATAGAGTAATGATCAAATTAGGCAAGAGAAATACGATCCCAAACAAAACGTTCCATTTACTGAACAATTTCCATGGAGTTGTGCTCATCAACTTCTGGAATATCTCCTAAGTGATGAAAAAAAGGACGACCATGAACACAGCCTTTATTTTCCTTTCCAAGCTGTTGCTTCATCCTGTAAATTGTGTTTTGTACATCTTCTTTGGACAAATGTAAGGGCAGCTGCCGAGCTAAACGTACTGCTTCTCCCTGTGGAAAGGAAAACAAAAACAAAACCCCAATAGTTTTAAGCACTACTTTTTAACACATTAACTTGGGGCTAGCAGAAAGTAGGAATTAAACACTCACTGTTTACAGGTGACTTATTTTTTTTTTTCTGCTGATAAGCACTCCCAAATCCCAGAAACCCAAGTGTAACTCTAAACATATCTTATTGGTAATTTCCTGACCACTTCATGGAGGCACAGTCAGTCTCCTGGTCTTGTCTGTTCTCTTTCTTCTAGGGTTCACATTTGCAAGATGCTCTGTGTTTCTGAATATCTTACTTCCTGTTAGCACCATTATCAGCTGAAGGTGTTTACCAGTTCACAAGACACAATCTGCATGATAAAACTTTAAAACTAGCATAAATGAAGCAAAACAGGCAGCTAAACAAAGTTTTCAAAATAAGATAGTGAAAGTTTAGATTAATGTTGTATTAACTATTGTCTACTGCATTCTGTTATGTCACAAAACTAGAAAGCAGATGTGACTGCTAAGCACAACTACTGAATCATCCATCCTCAAAGAGTCAAGCAACTTCAAAAAGAAGCTGCCAGGTGGGCATTCC